TTATCTACCTACTGCTTTAGAAAAAACTGCTTATCAGAAGTGGGGCAGGGGAGGTTCAGCTCCTTCCATTGCACACTGCATTTTATCGCATTTCTTGGTTTCTCAGATGTCACAGGACTCTACTGCAAAATATTAGTAGCAGAATATAAAAAATATCTTACATAAAACTGACTTAATGAGCCATTACTTGCAATTTCATACCACTCCGGTTATCCATGTTCTAAACCGAGCAACTGCTTGAAATGATTTCTGGTATAATCAGATAATGAAGAAATTTCTTACAATCAGAGGATGCTACAAAACAAGCCCTTTCAGTAAGGCTGTGCTTCATCCTCTGTTTTAAGAACAGAAGTCCAACAGGACTGTTTGCAACAGGAGGGAGCTATGCACATTTACCAAATTTTACAAGTCTTTTGAGAGTACATTCCCCCAAAATAAGTACCCGCATTTTGGCTTTGACACATGCAGGCAGCCTCTCAAAGTCCTCACCACAGCAATACACGGAGTCACACTCGGACTGCGAGCTTGTGACTCTGCATCGTGACTTCACAGGGAGCAAGAGGGCACCCAGGGATCTTACCCTTGCTGCCCCTCTCCTCTGCAAGGTCAGTTTGCTGGTCTGACGAAAACAAACCTAGCTTCCCTAAATCCCTCTCAAAGGCAGTTTAAGCTCTTTCTAGCACTGGACATTTCTCATTTGACCCAGTTTATGAACCTTTCTTTAAATGTAAATGAGACATTTTTCTGGGCTACGCAGTAATGGCCGGGTGCTTTGTTCACTTGTTTTTTACGTTATATAGGGCAGGAGGAGCTTGAAGATGCCTTGTCCTCAATGAAGTAGCCAGGCACAATGAACAAGAGCATCGTTGTAGCGTCCCCTTGGCTAGGCCAGCACYGACAGCGGAGCAAAACGCGCACGGGGCAGCCACGCGCTCTCATCTATATCCAAGGGGAGCAACGGTCTCCCTCTGCTTCCGCTCTTAATGCAACAGACCAGTTAATTGGAAGCGCCTGAGGGAAATAAATCATTTGCTCTTGCTACATGGAGAGAGTTCACTGCTGATCCGACGAATTGAGCGCTGGGATTGCACTTCATGASACTAGTGCTACTACTTGGCAAGGTTGAACAGCAAGCGTGCTAAATGAATATATGAACACTGATGCCCTACAGATCAGCGAGCAATACAGTAAGAATAGTGTCAGGTGCTGAGCTCTASCATTTAACAAATGAGAAATCCATCTCTTAATGATATTGCAGCAGTTTGTCCTCCCTCCTCACCAACAACTTAKGAATTCAAATGCAGTTTCACCCCACGACGACAGTTTGAAGGCAAGTTTCACTGGTAGGGTTAGAAACTGTTTTTTCCCCCCAAAGAAATATCCTGCTCATGCAGACCACCACGTAACATGTGCATGCTAGAAAGGAATGGAGCCCATCTAGCCATTCCACTGCCTTCAACTCAGGAGTGGTCCATTAATGATGAGCTGTCCATAGTCACCTTCCGGTTTTCTTAGTTTTATCATCTGCATAAACATGTAACAGGAGGAGGGAGGGGAGATGAGAGAAAATATGGACACAAACATCGCCAGAACTCAGCTACAGGAGCTGGAATCCCCTCAGATGAGTGACTGAGGGAAGTGACTGGCTCTGCAGSGACAGCCTGTCACACACAAGGCCAGCCAAGCCTTCGGTGCCGTATTTTTGCTCTTCCTCACAACCCCACGAGACCAGTATTCTCCCTTCCCTTCGGCGTTTCACTCTACTCCTTTTGTCACTCATGGACCTCATTCTCCCAAGTCGCTCTCTACGAACTACCTGCTACTACATGACCCCGTCAACCAGATACATGGGCAGACATTGAGGAAGCGCCTSTGAGGGCAAGGAAATTACACAGCCTCTCTTCCAGTGTGATGAGAAAYAGAAATCTATGATTAGCCACTGTAAGCATTTATTATTATTCTAATTTCTTCTCCCTCCTCTGCTACCCTCAAAACCCAACAGCAATAAACAAAAAGCCTCCTTGCTGAAACCCTGCAGACAAAATAACAAGAATAATTTCATACAAACTCATACACGGGCCCAGAATTGAGATGACAAGAACCTCAATCCCTAGTTTTTCATCTATTTTGGAAAGGGAAGCCTGTAAGAATATACATTTTAGACCCAGAATAAGGAAAAAAAAAAAAAAAAAAAACACCTTTTCAAGCCAATAGTTGAGTCCCATCTAAACTTCATATTTTTAGCAGCTGGTGGCAGTATTTCATCTAATAGAAACCTTCATTGTTAGAACATGACTGATCATATTCTTGAATAGAGGAGCATTTAAGTCTTCCACAAATGAAGAGTCTATAGTACTGCACTTACCAGCAGTACAGACTGTTCGATGAAAACACCGAATTAGAAGGCAGAAACAAAATCCCAATCGTCCATATCACTCCTGTATTTTTCCTACTGCAGACACGTTTTCCATAGCAAAGTCCTTACACAGGCTACATACTTTACTTCCTTAGCATGGCAGCATCTCAGTACGGATATACAGCTCCTAGACTTGCAATCTGATTTTAAAAGTTTATCATCACATAATGGGAAACATTAAAAAATCTCTAAAAGACTCAAAGGGGTTGGTGGGGACTAAAATATTTTGGAAGACACACTGGCTGTAAGTTAAGAATAACATAAAGAAAATACGTGAAGCCTCTGCAAAGGCTGCAGAAAAACAGCTGTGAAAACCACTATGTCTCAGCTGGAACTAAATAACAGCAAATCGCACCTAAAGTTTCAAAAACTTAACCCAGTGTGACTCAGTAATAGGAAAAATAGCAGTTTTAACAAGTATGTGACCCACAGCACTTACCAAGCAGAACTGCTTCTTGGCCAGAAGTTTTGGATACCGCCTCCTCCAGTCTCTGAACAAACTATGCAGGTTAGGAAGACTATCGTGGCACATCATCAGGCTCTTAACAGCCACATCAGCTACAGACCATTTTCCTTACCTGTGCTTTGCCCCCTCAGCATTCAAAGTGCAGCTTTTCTAAGAGCTTGATTCATTCTCTGCACTACACATCAATCTGATGGGTGACTCCTTACAGAATTTTCAAGAATCAGACACAAGCATTTGCTAAGAAATATTACAGCTATCACACCTGACAATAAAAAGGCTGATATTCTCATTTGACTGACCACTGTAATCCAGAGTGCTAAATTTCAGCAACTCTGTGACAGAATCATTGAATCCTTAAGGTTGGAAGAGACCTTTAAAGATCATCTAGTCCACGCCCCCCCCCCATGCATGCAACATCACCTACAGCATGTGGCACATGGTGTCATCCAGGTGGGTTTTGAAGACTTCCAGAGAAGGAGACTCCACAACTTCTCTCAGTATTCTGCTCCAGGGCTCTGTCACTCTCACTGTCAAGAATTTTTTCCTTAAGTTCCTGTAGAACTTTTGGCACTTCAGTTTGCRACTGTTTCCTCTAGTTCTATCAGTGGTCACCAACCGAAAAGGGGCCAATCCTATCCTCCTCATTCCCTTCCCTTGAGGTATTTATAGACACTGATCAGGTCCCCCCGCTCAGCCTTCTCTTCTTCAGGCTGAACAGGCCCAGCGCTCTCAGCCTTTCCGTATAGGGCARATGTTCCAGGCCCCTGATCATCCTCCTAGCCCTGCGCTGGACTCTCTCCAGCAGCTCCACATCCCTCTTTTACTAGGGAGCCCAGAGCAGCAGACAGTCTCCAGATGTGGCCTCACCAGGGCTAAGCAAAGGGGCAGGATCACACCCTCGACCAGCTGGAGACGCTCTTCTTAATGCACCCCCAGATGTTCTTAATGCACCCCAGGATCTCACTGGCCTACTTGGCCACAAGGGTACACRGCTGCCTCATGGTCAACTGATGACCATGATGACCACTATGACCCCATGATGTTTGGACTGCGGGTAATATCAAAAACAATACAAAAGATATGAACATGAAAAAAGGACATGCAAAGGAAAAGGCTTTTTCCATCTTGAAAAAGACAATTGGGATCAGACACCCAGAATGTTAGGAAGTGAATGTGATAAGAACAGCAGAGACTAAATCCCATCTGGTGAGGTTATCTCTATAAGGTACACAGGTCACAGATAAAACACTCATTGCACCAGAAATAGGTTTTGAAAGGTTTTCAGCACAGAAAATACATGAGGGTTGAGTGGAAAAATGCAATATTAGTGTGCTCATGACATCAGGCAGCTGCACTGGAACAGTTGTTAGGGAGCACTCCTGGATAACGTAAAGGAGAAGTGCTTTATACCTTACCCTTCCTCAACAGCTTGAGGTTACCTTAAAGCTTGATGTTGGAGAAATTTWAAAAAGTACACTTTTTCATAGACTTGTTGCAGGATCTTCTCTGAAGTAACCAAATTCCTTTTAGTTTCWACAGCACCTAAGCAACCTTCAGGAGATTAAAAAAACTCCTCTTCCCCCAGCTTCRCTAAAGCCAATTTTATTTTGACACATTTAGATAAAGATATATCAGCTGACTGAGTTATTTGCCCCTCTCGCATAACCTCAAATAAATAATCAATACATCAGTAAAATATAGCTTTTAAAAGATGTATTTTTAAAGGCTTACTTTTTTTCCCTTCACGAGGAAATACAAGTGTCTCATACCAAACTCATATACCAATCTCTAATACCAATCTCTTGTACTTTAAGCAYGAACACTGAAAACTGAGATTGCTATAAAGTGCACTGTACAAGATACTCTGATTTCAGTTGAGCACCAATCATCTTATTTGAAAACTGATATAAAAATACTTCTAGTTGCTTTAGGTTTTTTTTAAGTTAGATTATTCCTCTAAAATCTTGGCCTACAAAGCATTCAATTCTATTAGCTTTTGAATGGACAAACATTAAGCAATATGTGTTTAAATGTCTGTAATTTATAGCATATATCATAACAAAGAATAAAAGAAAGTTAAAAACCAAGTTTACATTTTTTACTTAAAAAAGAAATAAGAAATGCAATACAGAACATATTGAAATGATAATTTTTAAACACAAACAATATATAGTGTTAACAATACACATTAGCACTAAGCAGCAGATTTTTTCCCTTTGTGATACTACTCCAGTAACTTTTCAGATCCTTGTAAGTCTAGGACTACTATGGGGTTGACACTGTATGAAAAGACCTGCAGTTGAAAAATCGACTCAAACTATCTTCTACTCCTTTGAGCAACTGAAATGGGATTCTTCTTGTGCTTATTAATAAGTTACTGTAAATTAAATCCCAATTACCATATTATTTACTTTCCTACAGGAAGTTATTTATATAAAGATAACAGCGTTATCTTACAAGCCAAAAGAACAGGCAACTAATACATTTCCACAGGCAAAAGAATAATAGCAAACCTTACATATATTCTTCTTATAAAGAAAAAAATATTTAGAAATGTTAAAGCACTGTAGTACAGTTTTAAACCACAAGTAATGAAAGTATCTGCAAGGCATTTCTTTCACCAAAACCACGCTGCAATCAAGGGAACCAGCCCTATTACTATGTTATAAAACTAGACTATAGAGGGCTCTCCACTTCCCAAAGCACATTTTCCCTCCAAGAATGAGTAATTCCTGCTAACTCCTCAAAACCTTCCATTCCAAGACTTGATCTAAAAGCGCATGAAAGTTTACAGGCACCCCCATCCCAATCCCACTTTTTCTTGGGTAAACCTTCCTTTAGCTAGGATTGTGCTACTCCCTCCTCATAGGAGGGGCAGAACGCTTGGCCACTGAAAACAGGGAGTATTTGAGATCCGCTTGTTCTCTACCTACCTGCGCTAACTAAATGCTTTTAAAGCGCTCACTGCTTCTCTCTCTGCTCAAGTACAGACAGACTCCAAGCTATTACATCAGCTGCAGCCAGGTGAGGCTGAACTTCATTTGCAGAATGTGCTCTTTAATACAGTGCAGTGAAAATTGTCAATTGGGGCCCCAGCAAACGGCCACCTCGCTACTCCTTCTCCTCGAGCCACTTGCCCTCTGCTAAACCTGCGCTGCAGTCCCATCTTTCTGGGACAAGAAAGATATTTCCATTTTCATGAAACCAAACTGATTTTCCCAGCCTATGCTTTGTGCAAGGTACAAAAACGGTATCTGTAACATCTTCTCCGTTAAATCTTTGTGCATATTATCTGTATATTTCCTCTATGAAGTCCAATTGCTGCATAAATGTGTAATGTCATGGATATTGTAGGGCTACAAGAAATAAATTACTTAGAGGCTCAAGCACTTTATCAGAAATATATGCACTGACTTTGTAAAAACTGCTTACATTTTACATTAAGCAAAATACTGAATAAACTTTTCTGATTAGGAAGATCTAAAATAAGAGTGGTTTTCCCTGTAAATTTTATTGCAAGTCGTGTGACTTGTACTTAACCCTCTTCTCATGCAGCATTACAGTAATCCCCCCAACCCATCCCACAAAACAAAAAAACAAATATTCCACTAGTTGTTACAGATTGCACTTTTAAAGCACAGACTTGCCAGTCTTCTGCATCTTCACTGTCCTGTTTAAAWAGTTTTGACATATACAGTCTTCATTTTATGAAACAGGAAGGTTTCGCCTAAGTACTTCTTTTGATGCTGGAGATATGTTATCTGGGAATATTACTTCAAACTCTATAATTAAGTCTCCACGTTGGTCGGGATTTTTGGGAAATGGTAAGCCATATCCTATAATTCTTCTCCTCATCCCAGGCTTTACAACTTCATTTACTGTCATGGGTATGGTTCTTCCTTCTATTGTCGGCACATGCATTGAGCTGCCACACAAGGCCTAAAGAAAGAAAACATATCGTGAGAGAAAGGAAGTGCCCCAAACTGCACACACCAACTGCGTGGGCGTTAATGCAACAAGACTAGTATTACGAAGGAGCATTTCTACTGCACAYTGCTCAAACAACAACATTCTAAGCAGTTTCATCCCTTGAAAAGGTTTCAGTGTGCCACTGAGCACTAAAATTTTCCCATTTTATGGAATGGCCACTGGAAGGTAGTTAAGTCTATATACCCTTCCAAATTTTACCAAGCAGCATGGTAGAAAAGCAGAGTGAATACATTGCCTACAGTTCTTCAACCCATATGTTTCTACAGCTGTCCAACTTCTCAGCTTCCATTGGAAATTTATAATCATCTTCTATTATTTACGTTGTACAGAGATTTACTTAATATACCAATCTACATTATTTAAAATATCAAAATAATATTTAAGTATCCAAAATAATAAGCATATTAAATTCAATGGTCCTTCTAGGTGGGCATTTGTGAGGCTTAAAAGACAAGACAGACTTAGYGTGCCCAAAGATTGCCATCCCCAGGGCAAACAAGACTTTCTCCTGCTTTACCCAGTGACTTATTTTCATTACTCTGATATGGCATTTTGATTCTTTCAACTTCCCCTGATGCTCCACACTATCTATACCGCTAACACTATTATGTAGAAGTGCAATGAGTCTGTCTTTTTCTGTCAAGGAACATATTATCCACATCATTAAATACTTTTTCCTCCCTCACTCTATTATAGGGACTTTAAAAATACACACTCAGGTGTATTTTTAGTTAATAATTCTTTAAGGATAAAGAGCTTGTGATGAAAGCAAAAGATTTGCTTCACCAAATGCTAAAAAAATTAACCTTCATTTAAAGATATACAGAAAGCTTTCACGTCACTCCCACAGATCTCCTCAGTTGTCTGATTTTGCTTTTTGAAAGCCAATATTTTTTGATCTTAACACTAAAAAAGTTCATGTATATAACATACATGAATATATACATAACAAAATGCTCTAACTCCTGTAACACCAGATTACAATAACTTATCTTCATGAAATCAATCTCTACATACTTTGAAATCATGCTAAGAGTGGCAAAAGACAGACTTGAGCTTGTTCAAAATAATTAAGCCATTAAGTGACAACATTTCATTTTGTTCTACTTGATCCTGCAAAAGTAGCAAGTCATATCAATAACAGGAGTATTATTTATTTATTTATTTTTTTAATCGGAAGGATTCCTTATTCCTTCAGCCTAATATGTAATAAAGTGAAGTACTAAGTTTTAAGAGAAACACTGTACCAGCCTTCACTCTTATCTTGCTGCCCTCATTCTCCTCCATCTCTGTAGTGAACAGCCTGAAATAATACTCCAAACATGTCAAAACAGCTAAAGCTTCCACTATAAATGACTGTTCTGCAGCCACGTTTTCATTTTACAGCCATGAAGAGTTACTTTTTTTTCCCCCCCTACAAAACTTTGCTTTTGCTGTATGTCCTGCACAGCACTGCCTCTTTAGCACCTGACAAAAAGTTTGAACATTTAGAGTTGTGTMAAGAGACTTACCTCCCTTAAGCTGATCTTAACAGGATAGATTATATTTGATCCATCTCTCTTGAAGTGTGAGTGAGGTTTATCTTTAATGACAAAAACAATGTCAGCTGGAATTGTGTTGGGTGTTTCATCACCTTCTTTTGGAAAAGTAATTTTGGTGCCTTCTTTCCATCCTCTTTTTATCTCAATAGTGAGAATTTTGTCCTCTGTTCGGACACTTCTACCATCTGGGTTCAGCCTCTTACGGGAAATTCTCATCCTTTTTGTGCAGCCATGGTATATCTCTTCCAATGACACTTTAAGTTCATGGATGACAGGGGGATCTTGTTTTCGACGTAACTGGCTACCAACTGTATTCCTCTCTCTTGGAAAACCATTCATGCTAAAACTAGTGAAGGATCCAAAGGGATCCCCATCCACTTCCATGTCTTCAGTGTCTCTGCCACCAGGCATCCTCCTTCCAAAGAAGATCTCAAAAGGATTTGAGCCACCAAAGAAAGCTGCAAATGTAGCATGTGGGTCACCATGGAATGAATATCGAAAGGTACCACCCTGCCCATCAGGTCCTCCAGCTCCTCCTTTTAGACCTAAAAAAGACAAACAAGTAAAATTGTAAGTGAATATTAGAATGTAGTATCACAATCTATATGTCAAAAAGGGTTTTGTAGTATAATGACAGAACTCTTCAAAGAGGATTTACTCTCTAAGCRGTGCCAACTAGTAAGCAGTAAGTATAACAAAGCCAAGAAGCTTGTATATCCCTTTTCCATCCATCCATGGAGAGAAACAGCTTGAAGTTCCATTTCTTCCTGATAGTTTTTCCTCAATGATTTTCCTTGGTAGTGAGTCCTTSAGTCCTTTATACTTTCTGCTCCCACATTCTAAATCCAGCTGAGTTTCCATCACAACTGGTGATTTTTCCCCCTTCTTCCTACCAGTTAGCCCCCTCCTACACCTTCTAACCATTAAGACTTAAAAACTTAAAGTCTTGCTGGAGATCTTCATTTTTAAATTGATGTCTGWTTATTCTTTTTTTTCCTCATTTTACAATAGCTCAACATTATAGAGATTATTCTATTTCTATAGCACAGGCATTTGAGGGCTTACATTAAGGAAGCAAACATCCTCTAACTCTGAATTGTAGGAGGGTTTCCTCCCCACTGCCATTTTCTTAATACTTTTATGCATAAGCTTAATACTGGCTATCAAGAGCAACCAAATGAAACACAAGAATGTTTCCCATCTAATACTAGTCTGTACATCTACTGCATCTTTATGCTACTGCACTRTTAACACAAAACAGATCGGGGAACCATTGTATGGCAGCATAAGGACATTTGGAAGAGGCAACCAAAAGATCTTACTGAAGGTGCATCGTGTTCCTAGGGCCAAACAGAGGTTTCCTCATCTTCACTCCACAACTACTTAATTATATCATCAAAAGCAACTGAGGAGCTTAGAGAGCTACTGAGGAATTTCTAGATTCAGTGTCACAAAAAAGTTTATTTCTATTTTAATTTTGTGCACAACATAGATTTCAGTTTATTTCTTTTTATTTTTTTTCTCAATTAGATTTCAATTTACCTCTGGCCTCAGGTAGGCAATACTAGGAAGCCATGGCTTACACCTGTTTATATGCCTTAGTTCAAGGTCTTTGGAAAAAGTGACTAAAATGATATTTTGGGAAAGTGGCTAGGATGAGCTACTGCACAGGAATCTGAAAGGCAAATGGATCCATGGRGTAAAGAGTTTCAGAGTACTATACAGAAGGGAGAAAGGAAGAGGGAAAGAGATGATACAAACAGCAAAGATCTCTCATGATTTTACTAGAATGTTTCAAGAGCATTATTAAAACTTTTGGACACTTGCAATTCTACTTTTTTCCAACTTGCAGTGRAAGAAATAATAAAAATTAGTATAAACTGTAGAAGCTGAAAGTCTATGTGAATTGACAGATTTGGACTACTGTATTAAGTCCTAAAGATGAGAGAGGGACAAATTTTATCATCTAGCCCTAAGAATCACAATTTATTCCAAACACTACTACTTAAGAACTCCCTACTTTGTTTTTTTTAAGCTAAGAATCTAGCACTGAGTGAATGGCAGTGAGTGCGTAGGTCCACCTCTTATGGCAGAAGTAATCATTTCATTTGGAATTCCTGATATCATACATTTAAGGGAAGAGATGTTATTTCCTTCCTCTATTGCTCAATCATAAAGCTAAGGRAATGCCATGCCAGTTGAAAATTAAAGAGTCATCCTCCAAGATAACCATTTTAGGTTAAATATGAGATTTCTGAGGCCTCATTCTCTTGGCATGTTATCACAGTTTACAATTAAAGCTAAAAAATTGTTCTGGWATTTCATGACATCAGGCAAATTCTTTCCTCTCCAGGCATGAGGCCAGAGACAACTACAGACTGGACACCTGGGCTTCTGCTCAGGAAAGCCCTGCCCAGATCAAGCACTCTGCCATGTAGATAAATGTTTAAAAAGACTATTTCTCTCTCCAGCTAAGTTTCAAGAAACCCAAGTTGACTTAAGACAGCAGTAAGAAAAAAAACTCCAAAAAGCTATTTATGGATCATACAAGCTCTTTCCAGTTCTTTATCTGCCCAGTAAACAATATATGGACATCTTAAAAATCCACAAAGTACATATTAAAATAAAAAACTACAACTAGATCAGTATTAATAACATATTAATATTCAAAAGAACAACTTTAAAGCACTATAAATGCATTGCCTAAAAATACATACCATGTTTCCATAATTAAAGCAACCACTCACAGAGTGCAGAGAAATACATACCTTCCTCCCCAAACTGATCATAAATGTCCCTCTTCTTGGGATCACTCAGCACTTCGTAAGCTTCTGCAACCTCTTTGAATTTTTCCTCTGCGTGAGGAGATTTGTTCTTATCCGGATGCCATTTAAGAGCTTGTTTTCTGTAAGCTTTTTTGATATCCTCTTCAGAAGCCCCTTTTTCAATTCCCAGAATAGAATAATAATCCTTTCCCATTCTGAGTTTGAGAGGAATTTATCTCTTTCTCGATAAAAAGAAACCAGTATCCAGAGTCTTAGCAACGTAGAGATACTGCAGGGAGAAAAACAAGAGTCAAATTTGGRACGGCAACAAACAAAACTGTTACAAATCAGCAAGCTCTCCGATCCGCTGGGCAGCCTTTCCCTCTTCCCTTCCTCCGCTGTTGCTCATTTATAAATAATTACGTGCAGCGGACAGGACAGGGCCCGGCTCGGGGCCCTCCCACTCGCACTACGTGTCTCCGCTCTTTCTAGAACAGCGTCTCCGAGCGGACGTCACTTCCCCAGCCRCCCGCCCCTCGCTCCCGCACGCACGGACCCGCAGAGCCCTTTGCTCCTCTGCTCCCACTGTGAGGGGCTAGTGGCGTGAGGGGGTTCACAGAGCAGGGAAAACGGGCCCGGACGCCCTGCTGAAGCCAGGGAGGTCTAAATGCACAACCGCCTCAGGAAGGCGGCCGCAGCCCTTGCGAGAGCGGTGCCAGTATTTGGCTTTGCAGTTTCTATAGAGACTGCTGTAAATACAACGCGCCCAAGATGTCACCAGCAGGATTTTGTACCTTTGCCAGCACGCATTACAAAATGCTTTCTTTTCCAGTTAGTTCCAGTTAGTTCCAAGGCTTCACAAAAAGTTAACTTCTTTAAAAATAAAACTAAGCTACCCTCAGCCAGGGTCAGCAAGCAGTAAGGAACTAAGCCTGAGCCAAAACGCAGAGCAGTTCAGGACAGCTCAGCTCAAGCCACACGGCAGAGCAGTCCTTTTTTTCAATGCACACAGAGATACCAAGACTACTGCACACATACCAATATACCAAGCAAACAGCTTTCAACAGCTTTCATAGTTTCTCTCCCACTGCAGGGGGAACGGTATCAATTTTCAGCCTGCAATATTTCTTTTGGCCCTTAGTTGAGAATTATAAATCAGGAAATTATTCTTGCCAGGAAGGAGACAAGCTTTAAGACTGATTATTGGACCTAAGGACACATTAAAATATATCCATTTTAGCCATGCTAGAAGTTACTTATACTAAGAAAACAAACAAAAAAATACTTCTACTAGGTGCAATTCTCTTTTTCCTAAGGACAAGATGTTGTTTAAGGAAGACAGCATAGGGCTGCCTAAGTACCCTCAAATTTAAGTGGGGGACACTAACCTCTTGATTCAGATATTTTCACAACCTGCCAAATCATGATCTCTGAACTAAAACAGCAACCCAGCTTTACCGCTAACAGCACAATGAGATTGAGATGTGTTTTCAATCCTGTGGGAAAATCAGCAACATGAGGTTATTCTGTTTTGCTCTGCTGTGCTCGTATAGTTCAAGGAGCCTATGGCAGGTCATAACCCACACTACTTGAATTATTCTACCAGCAGACACAGGAGAAGTACCCCAGACTTGTTTTGCCATGCTAGCAGGTAAAATTATTGGCACAACAGCAACCATTAGTCCCAGGGCAATATTTTTCATAAGGGTTCTCCAAAACCTCTGGTCAACAGAAATGGCAGGGAATGCAAATACTAACCTAAAGCAAGGCATGAGAATTTCCCCTTTGAGAATAGTGTCAAAGCTTAYAGACCAAGTTCTGACAAGCACAAAAAGCCAACCTGGGACTTCCTGCTGACAGCTGCTGTGAGCAACGCTCAGGCATTCTGAACAGTCTGTTATTCAGACAGTGCCAAGTTTCACCCTAATTAGCTCTTATTCCCTAAAAATYGAAAGACTTGAGACCTGAACGAGATCCACAGCAAGGACTACATTTATACTTCCTGTAGGAGATTTAACAGCCTGGAACTTCCTAAGGACAATGGAATAACTTAACCACCTTCCTCCAGCAAGCACATTCTTYCTTTCTGCCCACGGTATGCCCTTTCCTTTGTATCTTTTTAAGGCAAAAGGATGTCCTATGCTTTTACTTTTTTATCAAAGACAGATCTTTGGTAGACTACAGTAAATCACCATACATTCCCTCCTTTAAAAAATTCTTAATATGTAGCTGAGGAACAACTTTTCTTTGGAATCAGTGGAAAGAAAAATTACCAGAAGTTTTCTTTCTACCATTGAGCACAGTACAAGCATCAGATGGTGCTGATGACCACTCAGCAGCACCAGACCTGACTGGCACTTCCTCAGACAGCAGAATCCTGGTAAGTGCGATGCAAATTTTTATTTCTACTCACTTCTTCCAACTGCGCTATATTAGAACAGTTTGTGCCCTACCATGGGATATTCCTCCTCTTATAGTAGGTCTTGAGGGACATTTTGTCAGTAAGACTATTTSCCTGAATTGCTGCACTTCAGCCACCCTCTGCCTCAGAGGCTGGTCAGCACTTTGTGGTACCTGCATTGCGCATGGCGATAGATATTCTAGGCTTACAATCAGATTTGCCATTCATTTAAGCCAGCTCCTGATGCTGCATTTATGATGCTGAAGTATTAAGACGTCAAAGGAGGAAAGATACCATCCACCCACTTATCCAGATAATACACTTAATCAAGACCACAACTTCTGTACAATATAGAACACAAAATTCTACAGTTATTTTTCAAATAAAGTCTGTGCATTAGTCTGTGTACTRTTTTTGTTTTCCTAGATTCTGCCAGAGTATTGGTCTTTATCTCTGTGATACTCCTGAAGACACGCGAGCTGCCAACTACATATTTAGAGCCAGTAGGTCTCACGATAGACAGCATGTTCTGCAGTTCTTACAAGTCACTTTAGGGTACTCATTACACATGAGAAAGTCAGCAGCATAGACATGTACTTGTCCAGCTCTTCCCTACACCTCGTATTTGCCCGAGATCAGCAGCTGCCTCCGTGCTGCACACGGATGAACAGAAGGTGCCTTGAAGAAGGCTGTCAAAAATCTTACATCTCTGAGTCAGCCTTATTTGCCTGCACTGAAGGGAGTAAAACACAACAAAAACTGCTTTACTTATTTCTTGATTAGCACAATGCATCTCTCCTAACAAAACAGCCCATACTGACTAGGTAATCACTAAGCATACAGATTGCTAGCTTTTAGTCTCAATATTACCTGGTTAAGATCAATCCCTAACCTGGAATTTTGAGTTACAGGAATACCTATTTTTACATAGAGATAAGGGCTATCAAGCTGGCATTTGAAGGTGCATTTCAAGTCAGCATGTATTCTCCCAAATACCTAAAAATTCCAATTAGACTACAGTGCCAACTAAGAGACAAATAGTAAAATGAAGTTCCAGCTTTTTGGAGTCATCTGGAAAGAACCTGCATCTTCAACTGCATCATATTGCTAAAGAAATTTAACAATTTATTAAGATATTTGATCATCACTCAGGAAGACTTAATAAGCCTGCTTTTGAAATCACTGAACCACTTAACTGCAGAGCGTTATTTTGTTCCTTGATCAAAAGTGGCATTTAGTACTGTACTAGACTTCACTTTTTAGATAAGAGGGTTTTTATGCTTATGAAATATACGTAAAGAAGTTGAACATTGCCTTTCAACAGTTCTCCACTTTTGAAGCTGAGTCCCACTACCCAGATTCAGCATTTCACCCATTAAAGAAATAATTCCTTTACTAAAATACTGTCTTTTCCAATATACTTTCTCAAGAACCAGAGCCCTACTCATGTGCATATAGGTGGGTGCAATCTGACTTGACTTTGGGAGAACAGTGTGAAAAAGGTTATTTCGCCTCCAGGGTGGATTTTAATCCCTTCCTTTAAAGAATCCTTCATACAAACTGTTCAAAGAAGTTAGGCTACAGTCAAAGAAATATTCCCAATAGTTCCTTGTACTCAAATTCTATATTAATAAATAAGCACCTGTGCAAGGTTATTTTAGGTTGAAGACTAAGAATGACGTCATTATTCCCTAGAATAATAAACAGACTGAAAAAAACCACATTTTCTTCAAAAAAACCAAAATAAACCTTATTCCTTACCTATTTAATTTATAAACCCACATTCCTTACCTATTTAATCTCAGAAAAAGGAATTAAAAAAACAGCAAAAACAAGAAAATCCCACGCAGAGGTAGATCACAGAGCAAGTTAAAGAGCAAACAAATCCACAAAGGCAAATTCCGCGCAGATCACAACTATAAATATACATGTGCTCGTAAATGTCAAGGCAGAGGAGCCAAATCCCCAGCCAGAAAAAGCTCTTTCACAACTAAGTATCATAATATTTGCAAGCCCACGTGAACAAATGGAATAAGCTGACATTTGTCTGTTGGAGGTGGAAGGGAGCACATCCATATACAATAGTAAATATTCTGCAACAGGACCAAATACTTCCCCAGAAGCCTCAGCATCTTTAACTGCACCTAGCTGACTGAACTACATGTAAACTTCAAGATTGTAAGATCTTGTACATACACAAACCACATTTGGGAATGTGTCCCAGTAGTTAGCTCAAAAAATACTCAGAAGCTGGTTTCATCTATAGAAACTTAGAGACAGGGGAAGTGACAGAGTGCTGAAAATGCTTTTTTTCCCCATAGCCAAGGCAAYACGAAGTGACATGTGCAGACTGTAACACCTCTTGTGAATCAGTTAACAGTCCAAGCTTCATTTAGTCATACACTTCATAAGCACGGAACTGTCTAAGTTTATCAACTTTTTACTTCAGTTCTCTCCAGAGGTGTGCTGCTGTGCTGGACGTGGAAGACCTACTGCAGATAAAAATTCTGGGGGTCAATTTTGCATTTAATGATTACATAGCAAAGTGAAATATGAAATACCTACAAAGCTTTACAAAGAATAGAAATACCAAGTTATAACAGATGGTTACCTAACAGACATTTACCATTGCTAAACAGTACACTTGTGAAATACAAAATAACAGCCTTGTTACTCATGCCAGGCATTGTTTTAGATGCTCTAATGTACACAATTCCAGTTGAAATGCACCAATTCCAGTTGAAATGCACCATGAAGTTTCTCCCCTAGTCTGTGTGCATGAAATACATCAATTCCTTACCTAGAGGCACATAATTGGAGCGCAGTTTTCTTCGGACTTTGAAGACTTGACAGAAAACATGCAGTAATATATTTTTGATACAATTCACTGAAAGTTGAAGCTTACATTAATAGGATTTGTTGACTTCTGATTTGCTAACACAACAAAAAAAATAACAGATTTAGAGAGGTAAGTTATCTTATGCATGATGAAAATAGCTAACTTGCATTAGATATGTACCTAAATCACCGTTAAACAGTTTCTGACAGGAAAAACAGCTACTACAGTTTCACCACATCAAAAGTTTGCTTGCATTGTCTGCAACATTTTGTCTGACTTTTTGGAGGGTTCCAGAAAAGATGAAATAGTAAATGACGGAGGAGACTACAGAGCTCTCCAAGATAAATTTATTTATTGCACTTTTAAGTTGTCCCATCTCTATCTTCAACAACAAAGTTCTTGGTATTCTGTTTCACATACACATAAGAACTATAGAAATACAGTTCAGGAAGAATATACATGAAGTTAATGCTCCTTCCAACAGTCTAAAACTCATATACAGCATTTCTACAGGAAATCCTATTTTAAATATACCCTCAAGTGCACATAAATTCACAGCTCAGATTTAAGGGTTGACTCCCAGAACACATACTGCTAYCAGAAAGACTGTTGTCAATTCTCAACTTTCAAATCATTTTTAAATCTGTGATCCATGCATC